CTACCTGTTTTAGGTTTACCTATTCAAACAAGTCGCAACCTTCAGGGACAGAAAGTCTTAACGCAATCCGGAAAAACCAGTTCCTGGAAAGTAAATGTGATGTTGGCAAACAGGGATATTCAGGATATAACTGAAAAACTGGCATCCTGTTTCACTGGAAACACATGCCAGAATGACGACTAACGTATTGCGGTTAAAACCTGTTTATGCTGCCAACACAAACAGCCTGGCTCCACCTCATCTTAAAAATGCCTGCCTGTATTACAGTACAGTAGTTTTTGATCTGAATCGTTCAATTCAATTTTTAGGTATGCCTTTTTTTAGTCTTGAACAGCCCTCAGTCAGACAATGGCATGGTACTGAATAGATGAGGGAGGGTTCAGTTGATTCCTCGGCCCAGTGGAACAGGATTAGGAGGCTTCTGGGGGCTTTAGTGAGGCTGCAACCTCTATACAAGGTCAGCTGCACCAATTGTGTTCGTGTATGCATGTGTGTGTTTGGGGATTTGCCCTAAGTATGCATGCCTAGGGGGCCTATCCAGGGCTCCGTCTAGAATGAGTGAGTGAAGTCATCTGTCATGAGAAAGGAGGCTGCGGAGGGGAGGGGGTGGTGTGTCTGTCCCAAAAAGGAGAGGGAAGGGCTTTCACTTATCAAAGTAAAAAAAAAAAGAGAGTGAGCACCGCGGGAAAATCTGCATTGATGAGCTTTTAAGGAGTGGTATCCCGGTCAAGATAATGGCACAAGTATATGAGTGTGAAGCAGGAGGGGGCTAAAAGGCTAAAGAGCGCTATGATATCGATACACAAGGAGAAGTCCAACAGTTTGAGTATGTGAGATGCCATGTGCAACAGGAGCCACATGTGTGGCGTTTTTCAGAGATCAAGTTGAGTCTCTGGTTTAGTGCCAGATGTTTCTGAGTTTTGGACGGTGATCGTGGAAATAGAGTTGACAAACGGCAGCAGTAAAAACGACCTTCAGCACTTCAGGGATGTCACAAGGGCACAGTTTTTCCGAGGCCAGTTAAAAGCTTAGCTGAAGTGTCTCTGTGCATAAAACACCACACACTTTCACACAGCCCTGAGTCCTCTTTTTAACCAAATACTTGACTTGAGTGTCCTCAAAGTGTTGGAGTGTCCACTGGTTGATGAAGTGTCTTTGGAGTTTCAATTTGATCTCATACACATTTCTCCAATTATAGATTAATCTCATTGTTTTTGTCAAAACAACCTCTACGAAAGCTGCACAGATGGACGCTGAATACACACATAATCCACAAGAACACATTCACGTCTTCACTGGGACTTGACTCTGGTCATCTGAAAGTGATTAGCCGCCTCTCCGAAGGCTTCCCCCTGTACAGCCCGGCTCCCATGGATCCAAACCTGACAGGCTCCATTACGATTTCTATTTTGATTTCTCCGCAAATCTGTTCGATTCCATCTGGGCCGATTAAATCCCAGCTGAGGCACAATAGCCTGTCCAGCGGCATTTATTTTGGTTGAACAAATCAAATAAATTCCAAGCACTGAGATCACTTGAAACAGAGCTCGCATAAATACATAGACCCTAATCCTGATGTGTACATGCTGGCAGATGTTAGGTCAAAGGACATTTTAGTTTATACCAGGCCTCTGGTTTCATTGTAACCAACTGTCTGACAGAACGACTTTACTTCAGATATAATGACGGAGCAGAGAAGAAATAAAAGGAAAACAGATCTAGGGTAACATTTGCAATTGGGATAAAGAGCCTTAGTTACAACATTAAAACCATGAGGACTGAGCAAAGTGAGTTATACTTTTTAATATAAGCAACGAATCAAATGACTGAGACTCTGTTTACATGCACACTAATATTCCAATACTATTCGAAATATGACAATACTCCGAATTTGATCCAGGCCATGTAAACAGAGTATTCTGTTGGATATTATGAAGACGGCCTTTTTCCGAATTAAGCATCTTCTATTTAAGACCTGGGATATGCTGATATTATTCTGGTTTTAGGAGCATTGGGTTTCTTACCGATTGGGTCCAGGGGCTCCGTTGGGGCCCCTAAACCAGAGCCTCTGTGTGAAGTTGCTGTTAATAACTTTGCAACTTTGCAACAACAGAGCCCCACAGAGTGGCCTAAACATTCACTTTGGAGATGTCACAAGAAAGAAACCATCATGATACATTTCCAGTGAGTGTTTCTATTATAAAGAATTCTATATAAAGGACTTTAGATGTGCTGAGTGTGGGAGGAAACAACAGCATGTTGTACCTGCCCTGGGGAGGTTGGGGGGGCCTTTCAGGCGTCAAGGCCCAGGAGCCCATTGTGTCATAATCCGCCTTTGTTGACATGTATACAGTGCATTTGCAATATGCGCCTCAGTTGGGGTTTTCACCACAGTTTGCGACACACAGCCTCTGGCCTGTTTACAGCCAGCTCTGTGCGTTGTTGTGGAGACGTTGTACACAAACCAACTCGCCAACAGTTTGCAAGGCTGAGGTAGAGATGCAGGGCCAGATGCCCACATTTCTAGTCAGGAGAAACACACCCCTGCTTTTAAACACAAAGAAAGACTTCCATATCAACAGGTATTTGTTGGTAAATGACGCAACACCGACCTTTTCCAGAAGGTGGTTGAAGGAATGGAAGTGGGAGGCTGTCTTCACACGGTCAGAAAAACCTATTCTGTCACACCCACTTTTCCATATTTTGACATGATAAACGACATGTAAGGGCACATTAATTGCAGTATGCATAGCTGTAAACAGCTTAATGGGAATATTGTCTTTTATTGAAATAAGGGCTGAATACCACAATATTCTGTGCATGTAAATGTGGTCAGTGTAAAGTATAAGAAGTCGCTCATAGCAATGTAGCCACACATGATTATCACCAGGTCTGGTGTTCAGGTTTTTAGCTTCTTTCAACTCGTTGTTTCCATTTTTTTTAGGTCGGCATTCACCTAATCACAAGTCACCACAAGGACCAGTAACTGTTTGCATACTGGCTTTAGTTTGTTTCTTATAACAAAGACAGTTCTCTCTACAAATTCACAGAGTCTGTGAATCTCTTGTTTGTTTTTTCAAGCCATTTCTTGGCGCTTTGCTCTGCTCTTGACTCACACCAGCCTCAGAGGCACCGTTACCATGGTTGCCTTCATCCAACGTGTTTCTCTTGTTGATTACAGCCAATGTACTGCAGATTAAGAAGGCTTATTATCTTGGGCAAGGTGAACTGCTATCATCAGTTCCTCTGAATGTTTTAAAAATTTTGGGGATGAAAATCTTCTTCTATTTTCATAGCTGTGCTGCATATCCACGAGCCGTGTTCAGCTCCCAAAGCTGAAGTCCCGCCTCCAAAATGTGTTTTTCTTTAAAATATCTGCTCATGTTGTATCACAGTAAGCTCACCCAGAGAGAAATATAATAAACAGGGGAGTACGCTGCAGTGTCTTTGCACTGGAATTCAGGTTATCTAGGTTATCTACATCGCAATTCAACACCATGTATAAATACTACACTCTAATCCTTGTAGTTATTGTTTTGGCAGTTAGTATATTAAAAAGTGACTCATGCACTATAATTATGTATCACTACTATCAGGATGTAGCGCCAAGTGTGCAGCTGCAGATGCCAATCAAGTTAAAACTACTAGCAGCAATTACAAATTTGAAAACACCACATTTAGCAATTAAAACATTGCACTATGCAAGGAGACACCCGAAAGGCATTTTAAGTACACTTCCAGAATGAATGTTAAAGTAATAAGAAGTGTGGATACAAAAATTGTTACATTTAGCACGTAAGAGCGATGCTAATGCTGCCCTTGGGAAGGTATTAGGGATTTATGATTGGCTGAGTGCTGAGGAGCATAGCTCCAGCTCCAGCATCAAACATGGTGGGAAAGCTAAAAGGGACGATGTACCTACTTAGATATGGACAAGGTTACCACAGCTCTGGACTGCAATCACTTCCAGCCTTATGATTTTTACCCAAAAAAGGCATCAACATGGATCTAGCTGGTTCTCCTGACCTGAACATAAGTTGTAGGCTTCAGTAATTTCCAAAAGAGGAGAACTTGGGACAGTGTCCATAGTCTTGCAAAATCTTAATGCAACTGTAATCAGGTTTAAATGTCCGGCCCCTTGGAAAAAACAAAAAACAAAAAACGGATCACTTTTCATATGATTTATTGGTGTGATCAGCATACAGAGAGAGCAGCAGAGAAAAAAAGAGCGACAGGCTGTAAGTATGATTCATGATTTTAGTCTAATTCTGCCAAAAGAATTCAGCTCAAGGAAATTACTAAATGTTTATAATGTGGAGACATTTAACATCCCTCTTTGCCTTTCTCCCTCACTGTCTGCTGTTTGCCTTTGGCTGGAAACTGACTTTTGACAGATGACTTTGCATATTGTTATTACCATGCTGAATTTCCAGTTATTGTATTTGGAGGATTTGGCTGTAAGCAGCAGACCAGAAATCAAACGTATTAGTACAACACTGATTTGCAGGACTTCGGGGTAATCGGAGCCTTCGGGCCGATCGTGTGTCTTCATCAATCAAAATTAACAAAACAGTGTAGCTCAGCTCTTCTATGAAGGCCTGTAGAAACAGGTAAAGACCACACCTTCACAGTGTGATAAACATCATTAAACATAAATTTAAACTTTTACTTGTACTTGTTGTTTTTTACAGCCCACTTTTTTCCCACCCTGCAACCTGCATTGTTAGCAGGCTGACCCTGCAGTCCGCTGTATTTCTGGCCACTTGTGTCAGGTTGCACCTATCTCACCTCTCTATATTTAAAACCATTTCATCCACAAATCAAAACCTGTGAAACTCCACATAATCTATGTTGACAAGTGAAACAATAAGTGAGATCTGTAGCAAGTGAGCGTGAGTGTTGGGCGCAGTGAGAGAACACAGACAAAAATAGACACAAAGAAAGGAAAGTAAAGCACAATCAGGTTCAGACTTCAACATGTTTGTGCAGCGCAGAGCTTTTCAGCATTTACACACCATCTCTTTATCTGTTGACAAAACAGGTATGAGTCAAAGGTACAGCGGTCTTTAACTGCTAACGGACAGGTTTGGATTTAAATCAAATTAACTCCAATTTCCCATGATAGTAAGAGTGTACAATGGTTTTCGAGGTAGGTGTAGATTTCAGGGGGGACACAGGGGGCATGTCTCCCTCGACATTTAGAACAAAATGAAAACATTAAAGTGGCAGAGGGCATTCATTTGACAAAATTAAAGACATTTACAATAAACTGATGCAGAAAATGCAAAAATTGGTCCAAATAAAATCACCAGAATGTTGTGAAGTTTGTGGCTGAAATCTTACGGCAGAGGACCCTCAAATACATAGACATAAACGGTGAAATATCACAAATGTGCACCAATGACTTTAAACAAGACTAAGAGCCCATTTATACTCCCTTTATGTACGGAAATAAATACTTCAGTTTCAAACGCTGCAAAAGTCACTGCCCTCATACTTCCACGCGTCCTTTATGATGACATACAGTAGATACAGCCAAAAGATGGCACGAGAGAGCAGAGTCAAAAGTTTCAGACAACAAACAAGAGGATGGTGGAGGAGGTTGTTGTAAAGTAGGCTTACCTTTGAACAGAGACATGGATAGCCGTGGACTGTAAGGCCATTAAATACATTGTGACATGTGGACGGAGAACTCTTTTCACTCTATTACTGATTTGTGCCGTTCTGCCGGTTGTATCTCTGTTGCATCCGTATCTATAAGCTTTCAGAAAACGTGCACAAATACGGACAAAACAAAAGAAGACTATGAACAGAAGGCTCCATCTGTGTCTGTATATGTATCTAAAGTTGAGCATAAATGAGACCCAGGAGTCTTACTTACTAGAGTCTGTACTTGAGCTAAATGCAAATGTCAGCAACATGCTCACAATGACAGTGCTACCATGCACCATTATAGCTGAAACATTACATTGTTTTTCTGTCAAACAGATTAATTAAACAATCAACTGCATTGTGTAACTGATTTTCAAGGACAAAATGCCAAATTTCTCCAGAACCAGCATGTAAACTGTGAGATGATGCTGCTTTTCTTTATCGTATTTCATAGTAAACTGAAATATTTCATTATCTTAGGGTTAAGAAAATTATCATGGTCATTTTTTCACTAATCTCTAAACAATGAATTGATTAAATGACAAAATAATCAAAAGATTAATTGATAATGAACATGATCATTAGTTACGGCACTAATGCTTAAGCTGTGGTGCAACATTTACCACGTTCACCATCTAAGTTTAGCATGTTAGCCTGCTAACATTTGCTAAATGGCACTAAACACAAAGTAGCCTACAGCTTAAGCTAATGAGAAATAGGCATGATAACTACCTGTGGTGGACGATATATTGTCCCACAAATTATTGTGATAAACGTTGTCATTGTAATTTTCAGATCATTTCATGTCACTGATGTAATGATAACATAACGGCATAAGGATGCCAGTACACCCTTCAAAGAGGAATGAACTTTTACTCCTTAGTAATATTCAGAAATTGGAACGGGAGTGTGGAAAATAAAATAAAATAAAATAAAACATAAATAAATATCTCAGTTTACTTATTTTCTGTTCATTCAGCTTGGGGTGCTGCACCCACGTCTTATGAGAGTAGTAAAAACCCTGCTGTTCAGTTTTGCATCATCTTGGCTAAAATGTCAGTGACATTCTTATGTACACAAATGCGCATATTAACACAACATCGGCAGTATTGTATGACATATGGACATGCTTTTGATAATTTTTGCTGACCTTGATTAGTCCATAACGTAGTCATGACATGCCTAACGGGAATGTCATTGGTTCTGGAGGTATTTGGTCACACCAAGGTACTCAAAAACTTTAATTCTGAGCTGATGGTGGAAATCTATGCTATAGTTGTTGAGATGTTTCACACAAAACCATGGGGTGGCGCTATAGAAAACATCACAGTAATCATAATCTGGGAAACATGAATGTCTTGACAATATTTGGTGTATGTAGTTGTTGAGAGATTTCACAGGATTAGCGAAAAATCTGACCTGCTGGTGGCGCTATATGAAAAGTACGGGAACAAATAAAGTCTTGTGAATTCAAGCTCTGGAGACTGTGAATGGTTGTGTAAGATTTCATTGATATCCATCCTATTTTTGTTGATATAAACCAATGAAAGTGGCATCCATAAAGCCAGGATGCAAACTGTATTCAAACACTGGGTCCCTCCTTCACAGCCGCTCCTTCTGTCCCCTGAGGTGTTAACATTAGTGATGTCTCTCAGGGTGTCACTGAGCATGAAAAGCATACAGCACAAGGTTTTCCCCACCAAGATGCACTACAGGCCTAATGCATCGCAATGCCATGTACAGACATGATTGATGTCAACACCCTCCTCTTAATCACCTGAGATGTATGCAGCCTCTTGACAGTCTGGCAGCCATTTTGGATTCTTCTCTAATGACTAGAGAGACAGGTTGCAGATGATGTTAGCTGACGCCGGTCTCACGGATCACTACCAGTCTGTCAGTGATTAAGTGACTCATCTACCTCGAGTAAACAAACCCCCAGTAGAGCATCTTGCATCCATCAAAAGATGCCTTTGACTCGCTCTGCTTATCTAACTTGGAAGGAATCCATCATACCTGTACAAAACGGTGGATGCTGTGTGGTCTCTCGGGAGTCGTCCCATAAACAAACACGTTCTGGTAAGACTGCAGCCGTACATGTGTAAAGGGAACTTTCTTGACTGCAGAAAGCTATAGCATTCCCATATGTGTCTCGCTTTGGGGAAATAACACTGAAAACACTTGCAAGTTATATGTGACCTGATTTCTGGAGCTTCTACAACAAACTAGATAAAACTCAAAAGCGGAAAAGTTGAAGAGCAAACTTTCAAACTTAACATTTTAAAATATCCGTTGGAAACAGTGATTTTATTTTATAAACTTGTATCCAAAGCCAGGTTTCTTATAATAGTGCATAGTGAGAAATACAGTAAATAGAGACTTGTGAAAATCCAGCCGACATATTGTGCTTTAAAAACTGTTATGTTGCTTCATACATACAGTATCATACACTTGAGGAAACCTTTTGTCAGTGCCTTCAAGAACTAATGTGTCTCAGCGTAGCACAGGCCGTTCTGTACATAACAAGCAAGGCACTTTAGTCTTTATTGATAGCTGCGTGAGTAGGACAAGTGTGGTGATGTAAGAGATCTTTCTTAAATTGCATGGGCAGCATTGTTGGTCAGGACAACTCCCGAGGCTCAGTTTGATTTCAGCAGATTAATTTAGCTTCCTCTCTTACGCAACACCATCTCAGCTTTCAAGCTGTCTCACTGATCTCAGGATCACCTTTGACTCGTTGCATGGGTGGCTAGCTACTGAGCTGCACTCCCTTGATAAAAGCTCAGAGAGGAAACAACACCGCTCTTGAAAAGATCCTTAAACATCAGAATAAGACCTCATGGCAGGAAAGCTGTTTGGCAGCATGCTGCAATGAGAGAAGTGAAAAGGCAGTGATGGATAGCAGCTTTGATGAATGTCTTTAATACAATGTGTAAGGTTGTAAGAGATCAAACAGACACAACAGTGTTTGATGCGGATTATCCACAGGCTAAAAGCAACAACAGACTTTTAATTGTAGCCCTGCTAAAATGGATCAATTCCATAGTAGGTCACTGCAACTGAATAAAAAAAAATCTTCAAAAATGTCGGCTGATTTATGCAACTTTATCACAAGTTCAGAATTCATTTTAGAGGCTTGGTTTTAGAGAAAAATTCACCTCAAGAAGGATCACAGAAACCATTACTCGCAGCAAAATAATCAAACCATCAAAAGGTTTGATCATAGTAGCAATGACGCGTTGTGCCTGTAACGCTGTCTCCAGTAGATGTTCATAGTCAGGTGGTGGCTCCGCAGAAAAAGTGTGACACTTGAGGTAATGTGTGCCGACATGCGAGCAGGGACACTTTCATAATTAATCCATGAAATATTAAAGGCGAGGAAGCTATTCACAGAAAGGATGTCATCACATACAGTTATGCTCACTAAATGGTTCTTAAAATAAGAGAGAGTGATGGCTGATTGGTCTGAGCTGATGGCCGATGTCAGCCGGGGAATGAGGTCACAAGAATGGTTCAGCTTAGAGAAACAATGGTTTAAAGTTTTGGGGAAGTTGAGGTCTGTTTTCACTACTCATATATATATTTATTTTCTTAACATAAGCTCAAAGAAATCCAGTGATTAAGCTTTCATCTCACAAATAAAGAAAGACAAAAGGTCACAATCAAAGCAGCAGATATTCTGATACCCTGACTTTTAGGGTGCTTTCACACCTGTCCTGTTTGGTTCAGTTCAATCGAACTCAAGTTCGTTTGCCCCCTAATTGCAGTTCATTTGGGCAGGTGTGAACACATCAATCGCACCCGGGTGTACACCAAATAAAACGGACCGAGACCTTCTTGAAGAGGTGGTCTCGGTCCGGTTACATACGAACTCTGGTGCGGTTCATTTGTGGTGAGAACATGTTCCGACCTGGATCTGAACCAACTGCAGTCACATGACACATTGTTTGGGTTAAACATGAGCATGTTACAGTCCTGGAGGATTATTAATGTGCACCTCCTCCTGTACTGCCTTAATATGCACATTCAGCACATCCAATGCATCAAAACATTGTTTGTTTTCTAGTTGGAGCCGCGCCTCGTTTTCAAACTGTATGGACCAGCGCTAAAATCAACCTGTGTAGTTGTCCCTCCATTGTGACATTAGAAAGTGTCACATTTATCTTGCAAGTGTACTCTTCTTCAACGTTTGGTTTACTTCCTGGATTTTTCCCACATGGAAATTCTGACCAATCAAGAGCAGCTTTCTCACACAAGGCATTTGATCTGGTCCACTTGTAAATGCTGCTGTGAGAATATGAACCAACTCTAGGCAATTATGCAATTTCATAACAAAAGTAGTCCCTCACTTGGACCAAAGCAAGACAATCTACTTGATTCAACTTAATACAGTCTTTAATTAGGACCCTTCCTTCCTGGTAAATGCCTTCTCTGTTAAACGGCAGCCTAAAAAATGAAGCAACCCTGAGGTGCCAAAAACTGCAGTTCCTCAAATGGCCACTTGACGCTGGCTCCAAAAGCAAGTCAGTCCCCATAGACTCACATGTTAAAATTCCCAACTTCACAGCAGAAATAAACATGTTTACAGCCTGGTACAAAAAAACACTTTTGGTCTCTATAGCTATTTTACCCGATCATGACAAATGTACAGGGGCTGAATTTTTATATAACCCTATCATTTACATTTTATTAAGACTTAGGAGTTACGCATTTTTAGTGGCAGGACTGCTCGAGTGAGAGGCTGTCTGTGAGGTGTTGCTACAGTTTATGAGTCAAAGTCACCCCTCACTCCTCCACAACTCTACCCTTTAGTCCAAATATGGTCACGTCTGTCTCCAAATAAAAACCAAGATGGCAACGGCTGAAATGCCAAATTCAAGCCTTCAAAAGGGAGTACAACAGGCAAATCGGTGACGTCACGCTAGCTATGTCCATTATTTTTATACAGGCTATGGTCAAACACCACATCTCCAGTTTGTAGCACAACCTTTATTGCAGAAATTGAAACCTCAAGTCAAAGTTGACATAACCATGATGACATCTTTAAGGTTATTTTCTCAGACTTTACAGGTGAACTCCACCAATTTTACACATACAAATCTGTTCACAGGTCTTGCTACCACTGCATATGTGAGAAAAAGTTGCAACAGCCAGAGAAAGCTGCATGAAATCCAATAAATTGCCTCCTGTGATGTTACTTGAGTCAGTATCAGATGTGTCTGAAAACAAGATTAAAAATGAAAAAAAAAATCAGGATGTGTAGGGTAAGAAAGAAATGCGCTACCAGATTTCTGAAGCTTGCTAATCATCTCTGCTTGAAGCTAGTGACTCAAGATATATTAGCTGCCACAAATATCACCAAACTGAATCTCCAACTGAACTGTCAATGGATGAGTTGGATTGCGGGTAAAGCAGGCACCAGGTTTTGACAAGGAAGAAGAATGCTTGGAATAAAGAAGACGATATCTCTGGTTTTGCTACAATGATTTAAATCCTTATTTTTTCAAACTGTCCTTCATGAGCCCGACAGTTACATGGGTGCAATGCTAAATCGATGAAGTACTCTTAAATAGCTCTCTTCAGAGCCACAAAAGACTCTATACAACTGCCTTGCAGACTGAGTAGCACTCTCAGTGACAAGTAAGCTGATCTTTATGTGTACAATTGGTGGAGTGCCCTTTTAATAAACCTAAAGCTCTTTAAACACATTACCCCACTGACACGACGATCTATATCACTTAAGTCAACAGGTTTATCACAACGTATTTTCTCTCATACTTTCACTGTCTTTCACATTTATCTCAAAAGCCAAATCAAGGTCACCTAACCCAGCCATTCTCTACACTCCATAGAGCTCATTCACAGCTCCACGCTCCATTTGTCTCCTGTAAAAAAACAAAAAAACAACTGCAGCAGATCTGTAACTCCCACCTGGACAGATTGTGTGATAACAAGCCCACAACAGGTGAAATTTGGCTCAATTTATCAGCTGGTGCAGCATTAATTTCAGACCCAAGTGTAAGCATCATTAAGAATCAAAACGCACCCTTCTGTTGAAGGAAAATTCGCACATGTGCCAGTTCACAACACCAGACTTTGATGTGTCCGCCCATATTTCAGAGACTAAAGTGTTTGCTGAACTGCAGCCAAGTGCCGAGACAATACCGGGCCTTTGAGATATACCATGCTCTCCAGTAGTGACGCTCTCGGGCTATAGAGGAAAGCTGATAGCCAAGTGATCCTTCAGCTGACTGAGGGCCGAGGCTTTTCGGTTTAAGCCATCAATGTGGAGATAAAGGTGATCGATGTGGGAAAACTGAAGTAGAAAACAGAGGGATTTAGAGCTGCTGGCCTCATTCGCAAGGAAAAAAAATACATGAATTACAACTATACACTGCAAGAAATCTTGATTTTAATTGTTTTATACCATACTATTTGGTGAAAAGGCCGCTCATTTGAACATATAACTCTGCGTTAGGGTTGACTGAAGTTGAATTCAGACTTGGATCCACAGAGTGAGACATTCCTCTGGTTTGATTGTCTCGGAAAAAAACACCCCAGACATGTCATTACCTGACATCATCCCTCCTCTTTGTCTGTCCTCTTGGGATGACCAACACACTCCTCTTGTTCTCCGACAAGAGCTGTGTGCTGGTCAGCACCATGAGGCCAGTGAACCCCAGATAGTGGCACTCTGACGCTGGATACCAAACAGCCCATCACGAGATAGCACGCTTCTCACTGTCAACCACACCGCGAGAAATGAGGTTAAATGGCACTATCTACACAATACGGGAGCCTCTTCTATTTTTATTAACAGCGCTGACAGCCTCGATTCTTTGGAGAGAGGCAGCGCAATTCTTGGAAATGGTTATAAATAAGTAGTGAGGCGTCCGCAAGGATTCCTATTTATCTATTTTGCATAGTTTTGTATTGTTTTGAAAAATTGGAGACAGCTGTTTTTGATGCATGATGTGTTTCATAATGCATCTCAATCTACGATCCAGACATACTTCGGATGATTCAGTGCGGTGCAAAGCTGCTGTTAATGATCGGGGAGGACCTGTTTGCTCTTAATTTCTTTGATGTAATGACCCTTTAAACAGCACGGAGAACTTGCTAGAATGGATTTCAGAAATCCCCCCCTTCAGGGAAATTTCTTTGATACTAACGACCGTGGTAACTATACAATCTTCCTAATCTCCCACCATCTTTTTCCACTGAGCTATTTGGTGGGAGTGGGAAAAGTGGAGCAGCTGTATGTAACATCACCTTTTAACCACTAACACTGAGTAAGAAAACATCACACGCAGAATGATTTCCATTGGTAAAGCATTATTGTAACAAGACTCTGTGAGGTCTGCGAGGTTGTACTTAGGCACAGCTTTGCTTAGCAGTATAATTCATACCATGTTTATCATCTTAGCTTAGCATAAACATGAACACAAAGTTCAGCTGAGGCTGATGGGAATGTCTTTAGATTTGCAGGTATTTGCAGGCATAAAGCAAAGTATTGGACATATATAAATCACTAGGATCACTAAAGTCATTTGGATTTATCCTTTGTACCAAATCTCATGGAAATCCATCTTCTATTTGATGAAATATTTCAGTCTGGACTGACTGACTGACAGACTGACATTGCCCTCCCCAGCATGCACAGCTAACATTGCTTTAAAAAGAAACTACAGTGCACACACTTCACAAATCAGAAAGAGCCATAATGTCTCAGAAAGAACTTGGTTCTGCATGAACGACTGACCTAGCAGCTGGACCCCCCTGGTGAGGCCATAGACGTCTATGAGAGCCCACAGAGGCTCAGAGACCTGCACCCCACTGAAGAACAGCATCGGGCTGGAGTCGTTGATGCGGTAAAACACCCGGCCTTTCTTGTCCACCCAGAACGCGATGACATTTCCCTCGTTGGAGAGCTCCTCGGGCAGGGCTTTTGCCCAGAAGCCGCTCTGGGAGACCAGGTCGGGGCAGGCGTACTTGGGCAAGGTGTCTGGGTTGATCCTCGACGGGTCTTTGGATGTGAAACCGAGACGCAGAGCGCCGCTCCAGCAACACTGCTTTTTAGTGATCTGAGGAGGAAACGTTTTAGATTCATGAAGACAGTGCTGACATGCTGATGTTTAGCAGGTGTAATAAATGATTACAATGTTCATTATTCTATTTTGGTGTGTTAGCATGCTAACATTAGCTAATTAGCAATAAACACAAGGTACAGCTGAGACTGATGGGAATTAGGGGTGGGGGAAAAATCGATACAGCAAAGTATCGCGATATTTTTTGTGTGGCAATATCGTATCGTCACACAGTGCCACGTATAGATCTTTTCATTACAAACATTATTAATACTGCAAATACAAATTAAACTTTAGGTAGCTACTAGAATAATATAATCGATTGCCTTTACAATTTACAAGATACATTTTGCTGCAAATAAAATGATTTAAGTGAGATGATTAGATTTAAATACCATTTACAGTTGAAAAAAGGTAATAAATCGCAATATTTCACAATATATTTTATCGCAATACCCAGCATACAGCAACACGTTTAAAATCGCAATATTGTTGTATCATGATCATATTGTATTGTGGAGCCTCTAGTGATTTCCACCCCTAATGAGCATGTCATTAGATTAGCAGGTATTTCATCATTATATTTTGACGTGATGGTGCTGGACGAAGCATTAAGGATGAATAACATTTCATCCTGAGTTTCTACAGCTGCTGCCTTGGCCAGGTCTTTCTTGTAAAGGAGATTATTTTATCTCAGTGAGGACTTCTTGGTAGAATAAAGGTAACATATAAATAGCACCCAGCTTCCTGCGTGGCAAGAAAAAACTGTTTCAACCACCTAAGAATAGTTACCTTGGTATGTTTATCACCTGCAAACGATTTTTGTCTTATTTCGAACCTCTATTTACTTTGCATTTACCGTGCCAGATAACAGTATTCCTCACATGGCAATGCTTGCCCTGCTCTCTCACTTTCGAGACATAGATGGCCTGATAGGTGAAGTGGAAACTTGTTCTAAGCTGCTGCCGCTTTGGCCCACACAAGAGCAGGGAGAGAAAAGGGAGAAAATCAAAACAGGAGTGCAAAGAAGGGGGATGAGGAGAGAGGAAGAGAGCGACGGGGAGGGAGGGAGAAGAAAAACAAAAACACTGAGAGGAAATGAAGGCAAGGATGAGAAAGAGAGGTCTTTATCTTAATTTCTCACCACTCTACTGTACATACCAATAATACGGAAATACAGAATGTACTAATTTTAATAGTGCAGTATCTTGGTAGTGGTATCCAGGAAACTGGAGAACTGTTTTGTTTTGTACTGTTTTTTACAGGAAATGGGATGACTCATGTTGGTCGTGTTGCAATCCACAGGCTTGTTTCATCACAGGTCACAAATGGTGGCAGTGTCATGTTTCACATTGAAGATACATGCTAATGCATTGAGTATGATGCTTGTTTTGATTATTGAAACATCAAATGAGGAAGAGGAAATGATCTCATGTTACAATTTGCAGCTTTCATGTTGGAAATTTGGTAAAACGAGTCCCTGATATTTAAGAAAAATATGTTTTTTTAGTTCATTTTTAATTTGTCATGGTGTCATCGTAGCTGTTGTGCTTGTTTCCATCCTAAATTTATGTTTTACATCATGGCCTGATAGTTTCCATCGATACCCCACTCAGGAATCTATTGATTTTAATTATAGCTGAGCATGTTGGGATCCATCCTATTGTCATTTCCCCACTGTTTACAGCTTGTGCATCAAAACACGGTCAGGGCATATACTATACGATACAACTGGGACACAGCTAGTGTGCTCTTTTACCTTCAGTCGAACTTGCTCATACACAGCGGTCGGTCGGTTGCTGAAGGTGATGGCGTTACAGAAGCTGGCCTGTCTCTTGACGGTCCTCTGGGACATGTCCATGACAATCTGCGAGCCCTTGGTGCTGGGGTGGAAGAGCAGAGGGAAAGAGGACAAACTTCCACACGGCTGAATGGGCAGGCATCGTTTGGGCTTGTGGTGGCATCTGTGAGACGTGGTGGGAAATGGCCCGTTCAGAGAATCTACGTGGAGACAGAAAAGTAGTTGCTCAGTTTGACCCAAAATACATTAAATTAGCAAATTCATCCTGGGGAACAATTTACAGTAAAACACCCAAATTTTAGATTAGATTAGAATATTAGATTAGTCTGCGCTGCCACAGGCTTCACTTTGAATACCGTCATCATGAAGTAGACTCCAGGTTGTGACCTGCTGTCACATCTAATTCCTCCTCACATATCTCACCTACTCTTGTAACATCCAATTAAGTAAAAGTGCATTAAAATAATGTAATACTCAGGCTCTGTTTTCCGCCACACCTGCTGCAGACATGAGAGAACAAAGTGCAAGGTAAATTACATGCAAACATGTCCTTGGAAGGCAAAAAAAAAAACAAGGACAGAACAGCTCCTGTGGTTACGTAATTAAAGAGAACAAAGGATCTGTGAGAAGAGCATACAAAATCCTCTAATTTCAGTAAATGGCAGGTTGTGGTAACACTAATAACTTTTTGTTTTTCCACATCTTGCCAGATTTAAACCAGTTTGTGTTTTAACAGTTTATCACCATGCTGGAACACATTTGCAGGAAACAGAGCGGGCAAAGGAGGATAAACTGTGATGATTAGCTAACATTTAAGGTGCTCTAACATCATCTCAAACAGCTGATTCAGCACAAAACAAGCTTTTTGGATCTTACAAGAGTTCTGGATGTATACCATGGGTGGAGTATGAAACAATGGGCCCCTGGGCACAGGGCAAAGGGCCCACCACCTTTCCTACTTAGGAGCAAGACTCAGTGGCAGGTTTTTTGAATCTCTTTGTCATCATTACGCATCTTTTTGTGGTTTTGTGTGTCATTTTGTGTTTGCTTGTGGTTGTTTTTTTTTTTTGTCTTTTTGTAACTCTCTGAGGTAATTTTATATCTTTTTGACATAATTTTGTTTGTTGTTTAGTTGTTTTGTGTTGCTTCAAAGTCGTTTTGTGTCTTCTTTTTGTTGTTTTATGTCTCTTTGTAGTTGATTTGCATCTTTTTATAGTTGATATGCATCTTTTTGTGGTTTTGTGTGTCTCAGTGGTCATCTTATGTCCACTTGTGATTGTTTTGTGTCTTTTTGTAGCTGTTTGCACCGCTTTGAGGTAAATTTGTGTCAAATTGAGGTAATTTTGTGTCTAAGATGTAATATTTAGTTCTTTTGAAGTTTTTTTGTGTTGCTTTGTAGTCAGTGTGTGTCTTCTTTTTGTAGTTTGATGTCTCCTTGTGGTTGTTTTTTGTCTTTTTTTAGTCGTTTTGCATCTCTTAGTAGTGAATATGCATATTTTTGTTGTTTTTTGTGTCTTAGTGGTCATTTTGTGTCGACTTGTGTTTGTTTTGCATCTTTTTGTGGCTGTTTGCATCCCTTTGAGGTAATTTTGTGTCTTTTTTAGTCATTTTATGTTGCTTTGTAGTCACTGTGTGTCTTCTTTTAGTCATTTTATGTCTCCTCTTTGTCTTTCTTTAGCTGTTTCGTGTCTCTTTGTAATGGATATGCATCTTTTTGTGGTTTTATGTGTCTACATGGTCATCTGGTTACCACTTGTGGTTGTTTTGTGTCTTTCTGTAATTGTTTGCACCTCTTTGAGATAAATTTGTGTCAAATTGAGGTAATGTGTCTCTTTAAGGTAATATTTATTTCTTTTTAAGTTGTTTTGTGTTGCTTTGTAGTTATTGTGTGTCTTCTTTTGGATGTTTTATGTCTTCTTGTGGTTGTTTTTGGTCTTTTTTTAGTCGTTTTGCATCTTTTTGAGGTAAGTTGAGTGTTACTACGGTCATTTTGTGTCTTTTTTAGTCAATTTGTGTTGCTTTGTTGTCATTATGTGTCTCCTTGTGGTTGTTTTTGTCTCCTTTTAGTCGTCTTGCATCTCTTTGTAGTCAATATGCATCTTTTTGTGGTTTATGTTTGCCTTTGTGGTCATTTTGTGTCCACTTGGGGTTGTTCGATGTGTTTTCGTTGTTGTTTGCACCTGTTCAAGGTCATTTTATATCTCTTTGAGGTCATTTTGTGTCTTATTGAGGTAATTCTATGTGTTTTTGGTTGTTTTGTGTCACTTTGCAGTCATTTTGTGTCTCCTTGTGGTTGTTTTATGTCTCTTTGTAGTTGTTTTTTTGTCTCTCTGTGGCTGTTTGGCCCATTTTTGTAGTTATTTTGTGTCCCTTTATAGTTCCTTTGCATCTCTTTGTGGTCATTTTGAGTCTCTTCCTGGTCAGTACGTGTTAATTTGAGTGAAATCTTACAGGTGAAGGCCATGGGGCCCCTGACACTTTGGGCCCCTGGGCCTGTGCCCGGTAGGCCCGTTCAGCAATCCATCCATGTGTACATGTCCAACTGGCTGGTACAGCACATTCAGAGCTACCCCTAAAATAGCGAGGCATGGCTGTTACATGTGATTTCCAGTTGTGGCTCATGTTTTGATGAGTACATATCAACAACATTCATGCCTGAGAGTCTGAGCTTTATCAGAAAAACACTGCTGCTAAATGCGATCTAGTGACAATTATTGTGTTTTGCTGGTCAGAGGAAGTAGCAAAATAAGAGCAGACCCAAAGGAGAACATCTGACTCATAATATGCAGCAGAGTTTTTAACAATTTTCCCATGTGAACATGTGTGAATCATGCCTGCTCCCACGTACAGTTACCTCATAATAGAGCAAAACATCTTTTTTTTTTTCAAATCACATCTGTCTTTTTGGGACTGATAAAGAGTTTCCTCAGTGTCATCATGAGCCTGATTTCACACTCACTCCCTTTCATAAAGACCAACTCTCCCCACTCTTCAAAGCACAACGCCAAGGTCACTGTGGTGTTGAGGCATTTTCTCACAGACACTTGGCTCTTATTAAACATAAGGCAAGATTATTTTAAGTTGATCAATAACATGTTGATTCATACAGTTTGCTGCACTGCAATACCTTAGTCTTCTCTACAATGACATTTAAAGGTCTGAAAGTACCACAAATTCCAGCCAACGTGGCAAGACTGCAAGCCAAATAAATAATTCAGGCCTAATTAACACTTCTTCGTCCTTGAGAACTGCTTGTAATTTCACACCTAAATTTGGAAGACTAAATTTGTGTAGGAGCTCCTTGTGTTCGTCCGTGAGAGAAGAGGACTATACGAGCTACTGCTGAAAGATGGCTATTCCTGCTCTCCTTTGAGGGACCTTGGAGGGTCAAGAGGTCTATAATGAACCCTGAAGACAAATCAATCAACACTGACAAGATTGGCAAAGACTAATCAGTTGACCTCTGAGTCCAGGTCTGTTATAATGTCACTGCTGCTCTGATTTAAGGGCAGAGAGAGAGGTTTGAGGTGGGGCTGTTGAAATAACCACAATATTGCAATACTACAATATTGACAAGCAAATCACAGAGGATGACAAACAACTGCTATGTTCAAGTTTCTTTTTTTCATGGGAGTGTTGTGTACTTACTCTGTGCTACAAATGGCAGCAGCATATTGAGGCACTGAGCGCCTTTTATTGCGCTGATCGCTGCAGGTTTGCCGTTTCTATCTTGTCGCTGAGAGTTGAAAAATAATCAACTTTGGGTAAAATGCTGCAGCCGCTCATCACTGTCACTTTTTACCCAGCCATCCAATCATAGTGAAGAAGGGACGGGACAAATCCCACAAAGACCAAATGTTACATTGCTGAACAACAGCAACAATGGAGGATAAATCAACACTGAACCCATATCAACTGGCGGGTGTGTCGTCTCTCCCTACGTTCTTCAGCCTTTCCTTAATCCAGAACTAACATTTTTACCTCTATGTATATTCTGTAAAGTTGCGACCAAAGCATCTTAGCTGTGTCATCTTTATAATAAAAAAAAGCTTATTTACAAAGCACTAAAATCAAGATAAATGAAGTAATTTCAAAAATAAAAAATGGCAGTAATAGTACATCTGTTGCTGTTGAGCCACCCTTAATCACCACAGGGGAAGTTCCTTCACCAAGACAGCTCTAGTTTGAGGGATGTTAAAACTTCTCATTTGTTGAGGTTAAGCTATAAAGAGTCCTTCCCCTCACATCACAATCAGAGAGGCTCTGCCAAGTGTTCTGGGCTCAGTACAGTGTATTTGTTAAGCTCCTTGCATGCTCTTGTCGCTGCAGAACAATGTGGAATTGTGCTCTGTGCACAACAATGGTCTTAAATGAAGTCATAACAAAGCCTTCAACCATATTGCATCCATGATGTCATGACAGACGTGATGTCTTCAGGAAAACAAAGCAGGACTGTATTGTACTCCATCGACGACCAGGCCCGAGACTGAATAGAGCGTTTCCTGTGAGGTCTGAAAAACAGAAGCAACACCTAACAGGCCTCGCGCTTCGCCATCTAACCAAGAATCCAATATCTTCTTTCATTCCCACTGCATTAATATCATTTCTGCTGCTGTGAAATTGAATTCTCCAGTCTGTGTTCTATTTTCACTTCCCAGCCATCTTAGAATTACAGCACTCAGAGCACATAGGGGACCATAAACTATGAATAGAGTCAAATAAGTAAATAAATGGATAAATAAAACTACCAGATTTGATTTACTGTAAATGACAGCTGGTTAGAGCCAAAAGTGCTGATGATACAGTGGCTGTTGAAGTGTGTTTAAAAAGTCATGCGACCTGACGGAGATGTCAGGGTAAACAGTGACCAGAGCCCTGTCATGATAAAAGAGAGGTGCCATGACGAATGTCAGATGAGCAACTTAAGGAAGGATAATGTTTCTTAATGCACCACCGCACACAATGTGACTGCCTTCGCTGTCATTAATTGGAAAGGACAAACAGTGCAGAGACAAAGAGTGGCCCTGGCCAGTGTCACCTGGCCTCTTACGCTCTTACTCTGGGTTTTATCCCCAGGCTCAGTCTCACTAAGAAGCCCCAACAGAGGCCCTAATGTGGTGTGACGTTAGTATGGAGGCTTGGTGGCCCTCCCTCACAAGACAACCTCTCACAGGCAGCATCCTAAAGAGCCAAAGGGCACGTATGTGCTTTTAGCTTCTGCGAATATGTCATAGCTTGTGTGGTTTCAGTGAAAAGTAAACAAAGATGATTCTTAAACACTTAGAAAGTTTAAAACATCTTCCTGCAGCATCACAGTGTGCCAGTCCTGTTACTTGTGCAGTGCTGTTTATTTTCTATTTGGTGACATTTATGACAATTATGAAAATATCCTCCAATAAAGAAGATGTTGAGTTGATAGTCTCTCCAGTTAGCTATTACCTTCGCAGGCAATATTGTACTTTGTAAATGATAGAAGTGTTATAAGGGTGGATAAAGTTTGGGCGTTCCTGTTAGGGCCAGGCATCTGCACAAATCTGTTGAAAAATTGTTTTGTTTTTTTAAGATCGTTGATAAAATTTCACCTGAAAGCAGAGATTACTTTATCCTTCAGGCTCTGACCTAACAGGTTTGTACAATGTATATAGTGTAATGTAATGTACTGTAAAGTAGTCATGTGACGATATGTTTATTTCATGACACAATTATCGTAGCCAAAATAATTCACAATAGTATCATGATAATCGGTAAAATATTCTTAAAACTCTTAAAACATACTGGAATCACTATACCTTACATTTTGTTAAGAAACAAATGGTTTTATTGCATTACAGCCTTTTTTAGTGAACATCCTTTTTACTGAAACACAATGAAACGATCTTAAAAAAACAGGCTGCAAGATCAACTGATTTTTATCACAGTCCACAAAAAAATCAAATATCGTCCCATCTCTACTGTGATTTTTAGGGCTGCAATTAATAGTTATTTTCATTTTAGAGTGATCTTTTGATTATTTTCTTCATTAATGGATCGATGGGTTGGTTAAAAAATATGACTGATGTCTTTAGATGTCTTGTTTTGACTAACCAAGTGTCCAAAACACAAAGATTTTTAACTTACTATCATTGAGTACACAGAAAACCATTTTTGAGTAACTGTAACCAGAGAATTTTGGCATTTTGTTCCCTTAAAAACACAAAAAAAAACATGAATCATAATGTTGAGTAAGGAATCATGAGTGCTGCTTGTTTCGGAGCTATACTCTTAATGAGGAGATGACACTGAAGCAAAGTTTTATCTTGATGTTTCTTGAAATCTCAGTGCTAGTGTAAGCATTTCAAAATTCTAAACACATTCAACAAGTATAACTAGAAAGGCTAAATGCCCTGTCTCGCAACGTTTATGAAAGTGAAAAATATTTTGTGTATCTGCCCTGTGATTCGGATCCACGAAAAAAACCTTAGGGGTTCATCCTTGGCCCCTGCTACACCCTTCCAGCAAGTTTCATGCATATTGGACCGGTAGTTTTTACGTAATCCTCCTCACAAACAAACAAATTGAACCTTGGCTGAGGTAATTGCTCTCCTTGAAAAATGGTGTAACCTCTGTGCTGACGTCACACTGTGATAACCTAAACTTCAGTAATACAATCATGTCGGTTTGACAAATGGGGAGCGCTGAATGATTCATGCCCTGCAACATGACGGGGATTACATATTCAGGGCCCAGACTGAGCTCTTGTCAGAGGGCCAAGGATTTCTAGTAGTGTCCCCGCCTGCACCTACATTGTTATTTCACACCAATGGTCCGAGACAGTGAAATTGGGAAAAGAACTGTATTGGTTGGCACGTTTCCATCGGTCCATCTGGGGAATGAAACCATTATTTTCATTATAGATGAGATCGCTGACATAGATTCAGACAGCAGCCCATCACAGTTTCCTGAAGCTCAAGGTGACATCTTGATAATGCTTGTTTTATCAGCCTAGAGCTGCAACGATTAGCTGATTAATCGACTAGTTAATCAAAAGAGAATTCATCACCAAGTATTTTGATGATCAAATAATTATTTCAGCATTTTTTCAAGCAAAAATATAAAACATTTGCTGGTTCCAGCTTCTTAAATCTGACAATATTCTGCTTTACTTTGTCATTTTATTGCAGTTAATGAAGAGTCTTTGGGTTTTGGAGTCTTGGTTGGAGAAAAGAAGCAAAGTGAAGATGTCACTTTGGGCTGTGGGAAAATTCTGATGAGCATTTTTTGACATTTAATAGACTAAACGACTCATCAATTGATCTTAAAAGTAATCCACAGATTAGCTGATAATAAAAATAATTGTTAGTCGCAGCCCGAGTTCCACCAACAATCTAATACCCAAAGATATTCAATTTACAGTCATATAAACCACAGGAAAGTAGCAAATCCTCCCATTTAAGAAGCTGGACCAGAAAACATTTTGCATTTTTGCTTACATAAATGACTTTTAATGATTAACAAAATAGTTGCTAAGTGATATTCTGGCGCTTGACTACTCAATTAATTGACTTTTGTTGCAGCTCTACAATTAATTTAATCAATAACTCCCCCTTTCATACATATATAATTTCTTTAATTGTGGAAACTTTAAGTTTTCTGAACAAAGAGTCAAAAATACTTTACATTCATTCTCTGCCTTTAAAGTTATTTATAGTGTTGGGCTTATTAAAAAAATAGTATTATAGTAAATAAGTTTAATTACACACGTATGTATGCAGAAACTGCAAACAGCTACACATTATGCACATAATCTGTTAACAAGTCAGGAAATCAAACAATAATCTGTTTTTTGTAGTTACTAATTGGCTTGAAAGCCTCTAAAATAAATTTTAATGATAACTGAAATGTGAAAAGTGATAAATATAAAGGTCCAACGCACCTGTCTGAGACATGATCGACTGAATAGAAAGACACTAAAGTTGTGGCACTCTTTGCCAAACACCCTGACATCCATGAAGCCTGTGGGTGTATCAGTTTCAAACAAATAACAAGCCAGGTGGGAAAAGTTGTGTGGCAACTTGGTTCAGTTTTTCCTGTCTGATGTATTTGAATTCTAACTCACTGTGAGTTGGCTTCAAGAAGAAAAAGGGGCAAGAGTGATTAACTTTCAATTCTGGATTGTTTTTGTATTTTGTCAGGCTAATCAAAATTTGATTTCCTGTTCATATTTCCTCTCATTCAGATCCAGTCGTGACTTACAGAAGGTGGCAAAACTTGGCTACTTTCACTTCTCATTTATTTTAGGCAACCAGGACGCCTACAATTTCCATGCACACAGACTCGAGGCTGCACGCGCACGCTTCCAGCTCCATTACATCGTCTTTTATTATAATAATAACCACTGGATTCATTTATTGTAGGGATCAAATCCCCGTGATGCCAGATGTGCTTACCGTAGAAGGTATTCCTGGTGATCTGACCTCCCATGGCTGGATGCAAGGTGCGTTCACCTCCTCTCTAACTACCGGCTGGATCCTCTAGATTCACATTCAGCTGCGCGTCCTCAGCGGCGACATTATACAGACACGACGCTGTTCACACACTGAAACAAAAAAAAAGTCCCGACAGTGATTCAGCGGCAGGTTGTGTCTGTGCAAAGCTTCATCGACATGAAGCAGCAGGCAGCAGATTCAGCGCTCAGCGGCTCCCTCCAGTCCGTACAGAGATCACGCTGAAATTAACATAAAAGGTGGTAGTGGAGGTGGGGCTTCCCGGGACTATTAACGCTGTAGCTACCAAAGAGGGGACATCAAGAGTCTCCACAGGCAATAAATCACCATCATATGAGTATTGACTCATAGAGGACACGTCTCCCTGCAAGATACATTTAATCCCTCTGTAGGGGCTGATGAAATCCTTTTCTTATTATCTTATGTTTGACTTTGGGATTCGTACTCTCAGCGTGTTATGTAATGTCCTTACATCCATCAGCTGCACAGTCTTTATGAAACAGATTGTTTGTTGTCTCAACACCTGTTGAAAGGACTCACCTGTTCACAGCTTCCACCTACATCAATATCCTCTTCCACTTTCAAAATACAGGCTGGTGTATTCATGTAGAGAAACTCACATATTCCTAGAAGGAGTCACTGGGTAGATGGGAAAATAAAAGTGCAGGGAGGAAAATATTTTAAATGTATAGTTTGTTTTGGCAGAAACCCACTGAAACAGTCTTCAAGGACCCATCTGGAAACTGACCGATAATGCAGAGACGTCACGCTGCCTGGCACTTATTCCAACCACTGAAGGTTTAAGGCTTTGTTGGTTTCTCTTCGTCCAAAGCCAGTATCTTTACTTAACACAGTAGTGTTTCAAGATTTGCTTGGCAGCTCATGGGAAGATAAATGCTGAGACATTATGACTTCTTGTCTTGTCTCGGCGGTGGAGTTTCCATGATGACCAGGCAGAGAAACCACTGTCTTCAGGCTGAAATGGAGCAGAGAAATTGGGCCTGAGCGGCAGTGCTGTGTCGTAAATTATCCTCAGCTTTAATTTCATAAAGGTTGATAGTTGGTGTTTCGGGGTTTAGTACATCTGCCAGATTTATGTCAGTGTATCCTTACATCAGGGGTTCTCAAAGTTTTTAAGAACAAGTGCCAATTTATAAAGCCAGCGTATGATTGAGGAATACACAGGAAAAATGCACACACAAAATAACTCCCAAACCAGTCATTTATTTATGAAATACAAAGATGCCAGGAAGACCTGATCCACCTGATCGACACATTCTCACTCCGACCTCGTCACATATCAACGTTTGGCCGTGGACCATCCACGTCCAGATACGACATGAAAGATACCTTGGGTGTGTTGGTCGTTGACGTGCTGAGACATCGTGTCAAGTTCTGCCTGTTACATGCATTGTCTTCTTTCAAAATACACTTCTATTTTCACAGGACATTTAACGTTAACATAGAGTTTCTTCCAAAATAAAGGCACTACGTCAGTACAACAATGCAAATTGAAAGGGTTTTTTTTTCCTCCAACAAATAACGCATGTGGTTGGATTTAGGCAACAAATGCACATGGTTAGGTTTAGGGAAAAAAAACAGGGTTTGGCTTTAGAATCTTATGGGACACAAACACCGCTTTCCAGGGTGAAAGTCAGTGTTCGTTTGACCCAACGCCACCTTAACTTTTGTTCTTGTCCCGCCGCGTTTCCCCCTGATGCTGGCAAGCGCACGTATCATGCCGACATTAAAGGACGGCTTTTTGCGTCAGTGTCTGACACTACAAGTCACTGCCCAAGCGCCGGATTTTGATAACTTTGGAGTGAGACCGGGTTGACCTTATAGCAGATAAGGCTAATCACTTTATCCGTCCCCCGAGATTCATCAAAGAATTGTTCCATTTCTCTAGAAACCAGCGTTGCTTTTCAACCATACAGCACTTCTCTGTGCTGGCTTTTCCAACTCACTTCCACATTAAACTGCTGAGTTGTCCACCAAAACCACTAACTTTAGCTAACAGCACTAGCATTAATGACAAACCGTTACTCTCACGACACTCATGAGGTGCCATGTAACCAGTAGTTTCCTGCAAAGTATCATTCCTAATGGCCGAAATACATGGGACACAGATGCAGCAGGACATGTCTGTTGCAGCATGCCTGCAGCAGAGCCTGTCCATTTTAATCAACTGAAGTTGCTACACTGACCACTGAAGCCGTGCTTTCCCATGCGGGCATCACGTGGCTGTTCTCTGTTTTTACGTGGCTGGTGTATTTTTTCATCTCTGCGCGCAGCTCCGCAGCCCTCCAACAGGTAAAAACCTCACAGAACTGTGTAACAAAGGAGTACCATCTGTTTAAAAATGACTAAAACAAATACCTCATTGTACCAGAGGCGATGAAAAAAAGCAGAGCAACCTTGTGTTTGTTTTTACATTTCACATTAAAAGCAGTCAATCAAATCTACGGATCCTGTAGTTCAAACAATCCAGTTACTTTATTCAGTGCAGTTAATTTAACCTGTATGCTTTCAAACCCTACATAAACAACTATATTATAATTGGCAACCACATGCCACAGAGACTCAGTCAGTGCAGCAGGTAAAAAACCCCGCCCTGCCTATGTGACAGTTGTGTCCATGTTTCATGTATTTTGACAGTAACCTGACAGACTCTTGACACTGTCGCCAAGTAGTGTATTAAAAGCAGCCTATAGAAATTGAAAGTGCTGAAATGGACCCAGAATGATGAAAATATAATGCATTTCATGTCACATTCAGGGGCAGTACAAAATGTTTCTGAAGGCCACCACTGGCCCATAGGCCTCACTTTGACAAACTATGCTTTGCATTATGTGCAACATTTGAGATGTTCAAATTCCTAGATCACTAGAGGTTGGTGCAATAAAATGAAACTGAGCTGTACTCTCCTGTCAAATAAATGTACCTCTTAGACAGAGTTTTAAGGAGCAACTTGTTCGGTCTCCAGAGGTTCAGAGTTGCCGTGATGTCCCTGGTTCCCAGCGGGCACCTCTCAGGATCTGCCTTGTCGCCTTAGCGTTTACATAACTTGTGTCGGCAGCCAGGCCTGTGAGAGAACTGTATTGGCTCAGTAGCATGAGCTATATTCTCATGTTGTTTATACAAACTGATTGCGGTTTACTCGACTGTCTGTAAGCAATTTGCAACAGGGGTAAAGCCGTACGATTGCAGGGGGGGAGTTACATGCAGCATTTTACATGGTGATTTTCTATGAAAAGTGATCAAACCCATTTTTATTTGTTACAGGAAATTGAGATGAACTAAAAATATCAAAGCAGAAAGTGTGAACAGAACACTTAGGAATTTATGGCACGGACCCTGTAGCCATCACAGTCACGCTTAATGGAGTTTGACATGCCACCTGATCACTGGGCTGTCAAAATTTGATGTCTGCTGTTCTGTAATACAAGGAGAAGTGTTGTTCACCGTGAAATGATAAAATATGATGCCTTGTGTCCTACAGTAATATCAAAGCAGCACACCACTAATCACACACTCAGGAATCTTGCCAAATATTTAGCAATTGTGAAATATCAATTACAAGACACAAAAAGCAAAATGTTCTTACCTAAATTTGGCTTCAATGCGCCCTCATATTGCTGCACAGAAGAAAACTGTCATTACATTTCTGATAGTATGTTGTTGCTTTGTGTTGTGTTGCATCTCTTCGTGGTCCTTTGCATCTCTTTGCAGTTGAGGGTCTTTGTAGCAGTTTTGCACCTCTTTGCTTCTTTTTGTGGTTGTTTTCCATCTTTTTCCATCTGCTTTCATTTTGCGTCTATTTTTGGCCATTTTGCACCCCTTTGTAGTCTTTTTGCCTCTCTATGTAGTCTTTTGCTTTGTTTTTTAGTCATTTGAGTTTCTTTGTAACAGTTTTACATGTCTTTGCGTCTTATTTTGGATGTTTTGCATCTTTTGTTGCCAGCTCTCTTCTCTGCGTGGTAAAGTTGTGTCTTTATGGCCATTTTGTTGTGGGGTTTTTTTTCATTGGCTTTTATCTCTTTGTTGTCATTTTGTGTCTCTTTATGACCATTTTGCATCCATTTTCAAAATGACTACATTTTGCTCCCTATGTGGTGTTTTGCAGCTCTTTGTGTCTTGTTTTGGTTGTTTTATATCTTTTTTGTTGTTTTTTTGTTTCTGTGTGGTTGTTTTGTGTCTCTTTGTGGACATTTTGCATCCCTTTCTAGTTGTTTTTGCCTTTCTGTGTAGTCTTTTGTATCTGTCTCTCTCTCTAGTCATTCTGAGTTTCTTTTGTGACAGTTTTGTGTCTCTTTGCATCTTTTTTGTGTGGTTGTTTTGCATCTTTTTTCATTGTTTTTCATCTCTATATGGTCATTTTGCATCTCTTTATGGCCATTTTGCATCCCTTTGTAGTCTTTTTGCCTCTTTATGTAGTCTTTTGCTTTGTTTTTTAGTCATTTGAGTTCCTTTGTGACAGTTTTACATGTCTTTGCATCTTATTTTGGTTGTTTTGCATCTTTTTTTGCCAGCTCTCTTCTCTGTGTGGTAAAGTTGTGTCTCTTTATGGCCATTTTGCATCCCTTTCTAGTCATTTTGCCATTCTATGTGGTCTTTTGCGTGCCTTTGTAATTGTTTTGAGTGTCTTTGTGGCAGTTCTACATCTCTTTGTGTCTTTTTGTGGTTGTTTTTTCCATTGGCTTTTATCTCTTTGTTGTCATTTTGTGTCTCTTTGTGACCATTTTGCATCCCTTTATAGTCATTTTGCCTCCCTATGTGGTGTTTTGCAGCTCTCAGTCTTGTTTTGGTTGTTTTATTTATTTTTTTGTTGTTTTTTGTTTCTGTGTGGTTGTTTTGTGTCTCTTTGTGAACATTTTGCATCCCTTTCTAGTTGTTTTTGCCTTTCTGTGTAGTCTTTTGCATCTCTGTCTCTCTCTAGTCATTTTGAGTTTCTTTTGTGGCAGTTTTGTGTCTCTTTGCATCTTTTTTGTGTGGTTGTTTTGCATCTTTTTTCATTGTTTTTCATCTCTATGTGGTCATTTGAGTCTCTTTATGGCCATTTGCATCTCTCTCCAGTCATTTTACCTGTCTATGTTGTCCTTTGCTTTGTTTTATAGTCATTTGAGTTTCTTTGTAGCAGTTTTACATCTCTGCATTTTTTGTTTTTGTTTTGCTTTTTTTTTTTTTAGTCGGTTTTCTCCTCTGT